GGAGTTGGGGATGCTTCAGCATCGCTGAGATGAGGCTGGAGCTGAGCCGCACAGAGGCTGGCCGCTTGGTGCCTGCGAGCAAAGCTGGCTGGAAACACCTGCGTGGTGGAGGGGTCCTGCTGGTAGTGTAGGCAGGCTGCTGTGAATTACTGAGGAGAATTTAATGTGCTTCTTGTAGAAGTTCTTGCTAGGATATTTTTTTTCTTAAGCTGAAGTCCTGCTTTTCCAGAGGGGGCTCTGGACCGTGGCAAGTGTGTGGAAGCCATTCTCCAATGCTTCCCACAGAAGGAGGATAATGATTGTCATCTGTTCAGGGGAGAAGAGGGGGAAACGCTGAGTCTTCACAGGCCGTTCAGTCCTCAGTGTCTCTCTGCTTGTTTAAGCAGGAAAACATATTTCTCCTGTCTCTCCATGTCGCAGCATCCGCTCTTATGTCAGTTTGAGATTATTCCTCACCTGCTGCCAGCTCACCAACCAAGGTGCTAAAATAAAGATAACAGGGCAGCCTGCTATCTCGGCTTGCAGCCTCTGTTTGCATCTGATGTTCATCTACCAGCTCTCCAGCTTCCCCTGGGCAATTTGGCAAAGCTGCTACCCGCCACGCTCCCCTCCTTGCTGCTCCGGAGGGGCTTTGCTGTACTTGTGTGGAGCAGCCGGATGGATTTGTGGCTCTGGAGGTGAAGCAGTGCAGAGGGGAGCAGCTGCTTCCCCCTGCGGGGAAGGGGACGAGCTCAGGGAAATGCTCTGCGCTGGTGCAGCTTTCACCAACCCCTCGGCCCTTACAGGAGTTATTTCCCCCAAGGTTGTGCTGAGCACTGTCTCTTTAGCGGGCTTTGCAGGCTTTTCCCTGTAGCTGCTACAACTGATGCTCTGGTCCCCCTTATCCCTCGGGGAGCAAAAAAGGATCGTGATCTGCCCGTGCCTACGCACTGGGGTGAAGTGCTGAGCTCAGAGCTCTGCCCTGCACCTGCCTTGGGAGCCTCTGGCCTCGGCTCTGGGCAGGGTAGTGGGAGCAGCAGCGTTCCCCCCCCCCTTCTCAAAATGGGGGATAAAAGCTGGGAGGGAAGGGCTTGTGGCTTCCCCAGAAGGGGCCGTGGGGAGGGACACGGCGGGGCTGTGGTCGGACGAGCCTGGAGGTGTGATGGATGCAGCTGCTCCAGCCCTGGGTATCCGCAAGGGGATTTGGGTCTCACCTTTGGTCGGCCCAGGCTTGGGAGGAAAAGGCGGCTTTGAAGACTGGTGAGAAAGGAGCTTTTTAGTGAAACATTAATCCCCTCCAGAGAGCTTTCCCTAATCCTCGGTAATGTGCTGTTCAAAAGCCCACTTTCAAAGGAACAATTGCACTTTCTCCCTGTTGCATCTCTCCTTCCCCGAGGAATTGTCCAAAGGTGTTCCTTGCTGACTGTTTCCTCTCGTTTTTCTCTGATAAATAGAATTAATTCCTTTAAAATGTAATGGAAGGAGCAATTTCCTCAGCAGGTAGTGGCAAATATGGCTGATGGATTTGGAGAGATTTCTGCTGTCAAGGACTTATTTTCACCTTATTCCTCCCCCCTCCCTGGCAGAGAACCGCAGCCTTTTCCCCCCAATACCCAAATGTAACACTTTCGACTTTGAAATCAAACCTCTTAAATGTGGCAGAGGGAGATATTGCAGGAAATGGATGTCTAGATTTCTTTCAAGAAACCATTTTTTATTTTACTAAGGTCCCTGGCCACGGCATGGGCTGTTTCCTGCGGCCACAGCCGTCATTATGGGGGTGCAAGTTCAAACCGACTGTTAATAACTTCTAAATGTGCTGCAAGAGGGCGTCAGCAGGGAAATCTCCCAGCGTTAGGAGGTCATGGAGTGGGCTAGCTTGGAAAAAATGCACGTGTGTGTGTGTGTGTATACACATATATATGTATGTATGTATATTGAACCGCTGCAGCATCTTCTTTGCTCAGCCACGGGAGCCATAAGGAAGGGCTAGAGGCAGAGCAGGCTGAATGAAGCTCCTTCGCCTCTCTGCTCAATTCTGCAGCATTTCAGGGCAGAAAACAATGATTTAGAGAGTGGTTGAGACACGGCCAGCTTGCTCGGCTGCCTGCCAGCAGGACGTGACCATGTCACGTTCAGGTCCGTATTCACGTCGCTCTGACTTGGTTTATTTTTAATTTCTCCAGCAAGTTGCTACCTTGTTCCCTGCAGCTGCCCACCCCGGTCCTGGCCACGTTTCACCGGGGTTTGCACATGGGCGCAGCATTCCCGGCTTGCGGGGGGGGCTGTCGGGAGCCAGCAGCGCCCGCCGGCGTGGAGCCTGTGCCTGGGGCAGGGCGGAGACTGGGATTTGTTGTTTGCTTCCCTTGATATTGGAAACAACAAAATCACAAGTCTTCCAGCCTGCCCCAGGGCTGAAGGATATGAGGGCGGTGAAGGGTCGTCCAGAGAGCATCGCCGGGGCTGCCCTGGGGAGAGAGAAAAGGAGAGGGGTGGCGTTTGGGCACCTGCCCTTCCCTCTGGGTCTGCGTGTGCCTCGATACGGCCCTGTGTAGGGTTAGGTGGGATCTGGCTGATGCACCTGTGCTTGCACCCATGGGTGCACGACGGGCTGTGTCAGCCTCGAAACCCAGTGGGTTTTTAATGTGCGCCGGGAGAGGGTCCAGGGTGCCAGAGGGGCTTTGCCAGCCCTTGGCCACTGCTGACAGCGGTGACATGAAGGATGGTGGTTGTGCCCAATGTCGTGTCCCGTCCCGTCCCCCCCCTAGTGCCAGCGATGAGTCTGAGCCCCAGCTCAGCCCCGATCTCCTGTTTGGGAGCCCGGACTGTCAGTGGACTGCTCCAGCCTCCCACGCTCCCCACGCTGCTCTGGGAAGGGTGTCTGCTTTTGGCAGATCTTGCGGTGCTGGGATGTTCGGTCCTGCCTTGCTCGTGTTTTCCTGGGTGTCCTGGTGGGAATATCCCCATCCTTGCTGCCTCCGTTTCCCTGCTCCGTGAGGCACATCTGGGGTGCGGCCGTGAGACGGCTCCTCCACGAAGGTTATTGCTGCTTTTTTTTAATCCTAGCAGACAGAGCAGATAGCAGTGAAATATGGAGCAGTCAAGGCTGCTGCCCTGCGGACACCAGGCTGCTCCGGTCTCCCGGCTCGAGTCGACCCTGGCGATAAGCCCCCAGCGCTCTTATCGAGGGGAGTGGGAGGGGAAGGCAGCAGGCACCGGGATGCTGGGGCTGGGGGAGAAAGCAAAGTGCAAGGAGATGCAGGAGCGATGCTGACGGGGCTGGAGCAGGGGAGGGGGATGTCCCTCGACCCTCGTCGGCCGCACCAGTGAAATGCTGCTGCTGTGTGCGACGGTTGCAGCAAGTGCAAAGAACGGAGTTGGTGCCTTTGCTGTATGCGCAGCCCATTGCACAGCACACGCCCCACGTGCACCCCATTGCACACCTCGCGTGCCGCACACCCCGTGCACACCCTGTCATGCACCCCATTGCACAGCACACACCCCACGTGCACCCCATTGCACACCTCGTGTGCCGCATACCCCGTGCACACCCTGTCATGCACCCCATTGCACAGCACACGCCCCGTACGCCCCATTGCACACCTCGCATGCCGCACACCCCGTCATGCACCCCACTGCACAGCACACTCCATGCACACCCTGTAGACCCCATTGCACACCTCGCATGCCGCACACCCCGTGCATGCCCTGTCACGCACCCCATTGCACAGCACACACCCCACGTGCACCCCATTGCACACCTCGCATGCCGCACACCCCGTGCACACCCTGGCATGCACCCCATTGCACACCTTGCACGCCGCACACCCTGTGCACATCCCGTCATAACACCTCATCGCACCCCTGCTCACCTTGGGGCTGGTTGCCCATCCTCCCCACCGACTCTTCCAGCTGGTGTCAGCGGAGCAGTGATGTGCAGGAGTTCGTGGCAGCTCCGGGCTGCTGCTGCCCAGTCGGAGCACGGTGTGAGCAGCTGCGCAGGGAGGCTGAGGCATTTGCACGGGGGCACCCCCACGTACGCTGCCTCCCCGCTGGACCACGTCCTCCTCCCGCTTTAGGAAGCACTGCTTTGCTGGAGCAAAGGGAGTTCCAGGGGACGCGACGTGGGTGCACGTCTCCATCCCTTGCAGCATCACCCGAGCCAGACCCCGTGGACAGCAGGGCAAGGGGTGCCAGACCGGGGTGCCCCCGGCTCTGCCGGCGCATCCAAGCCCAGGGTGCTGGCAGCTGCCAGCGTCTGGGAGTCTTATAGCGAGACTGGCCTGGCAATAGGCTGGCCTTGGTGACAGCTTTGAGTGGCAGCTGGCGAAGGGACGGAGCTGGGAGGGACAAGGACGCAGCGTGGCTTGGCCTGGCCCAGCTGCACGATGCACGGGGGATGGGGCTGCCTTGCCCCAGGGCTGTGCGTATGGAGGGCAGAGGGGCCCGCGGCACCGGCTCAGGATCTG